AAAAGTAACTTTTCTCTGAAATACTTCCCCGGTTGACCGACGTGCTGTAAACTAATTTTGTTATCGCTTGTCGTCTGAGCTGGGATTCTTTTGCTACTTTCATTTCTGATGGTACATTAGTGACGAATCAATTATTTCTAAGTTCTATGAAATCGCGAATAAAAAGCAAGATTACTTGTTATTTATAAGAAGGCTTTGCAGGGAAAATTAAAAGCAAAGTTATGTTCTAATTCACAAAAAGGTGAATCAATACAAAAGGAAAATATATAGTTAAATGTAAAATACATACATAAATGCAATTCCAAACCCCGTCTTACTTTTTACAATGAGATTTCTAATCACACCATGACCTACCTACCTATGTCTCTCACTCTCTTCATACATATATATATATATATATATATATATATATATATATATATATTTCAATGTAAATAATATATATATATATATATATATATATATATATTTCCATGTAAATAACACACATATATATATATATATATATATATATATTTCTGTGTAAATAGCATATGTATACATAATGATATTTCTAATCAAACCATGAACTATCTTTCTCACTCTCTTTATATATATATATATATATATATATATATATATATATATATATATATATATGTATTCAAATAAGTTATTTAATTCTTTACATATTTAGATTTTTTCGGACTATTGTCATCATCTCTATTGTCACGAAATTTCGGTCGTTTTACGATCCGGCTCCTTCATTTGATACACGTTGGAATTTCGAACGGTAATCTTTTTTTCTTTCACCGGGGTAGATTGTTCTAGTTCCACGTGACATGGCTTCGCTGGATAGCTTAGTTTCAGTTACAATCTAATATGAAAATAAATATAAGGACAACAATCCGAAAAATGTTAATGTATAGAGATGTGTTATCTCATTTCAGAAATATACGCATATCTATCTATCTATCTATCTATATATATATATATATATATATATATATATATATATATATATATTTGTAACATACATTCTTCGAATACTCCGAGCTGGGTTGTCATTGATGTTTTCAATATCAGAATCTTTACGCCAGGTAGTACTCTTTCTCAATATATACAAACTTTCAAAATATTGAAAGTTTACTATACTTATCATTCTTATTTAGATCCTGAAAAACGCGACATCGCGAACCTATGAGTCGATATTCGATACGTATTGTGAGCATTGAATATTTCTAATACAATTATCATTGCTCTAGATAGATATTGAATATTTTATTGTTGAAACATATGTTCGCCTGAACATAGGAGAAATTATATCTGTTGTTGCGTATATTCTTGATAAATCATGCATATTCATATGGACTTGGCATAATTCTTAATAAAAATAAGACGAAAAAGAAGAAGGATGAAAGGAAAAATTTATATACGAAATAGTACAATGTAAATCAAAGAAATATTAGACAGTGAGTAAAACATTAACAAGGTATAGACAGTTTTCACACGCAAAAGGGATATATTCGAGGTCGTATGGCCTTAGGAAAAGACAAGAAAGAAATATAGTTGACCGCTTTTTATTGGCTATGAAGGAAATAAAGCCTGCATGTGTCTAGTAATTTGAGTACGGTTGATTCTTAGCAGACATTTCCCGAGATTAAAACTGAAACCAACACATATCAATATATGTATCAATATATTTCATATAAGTAACCAAACTCTTAATTGTGATGCTGATTTTTTTTTCTTTTGGATAATGAGGAAATCAACACAAAAGCACAGACTTTCGACAGTTGATCCTAAATTTTGCTGCGGATGTGAAAATAATAATAATAAAAAAAAAACTTATTTACCAATTAGAAAAAACGAAAAAACAAACAAACATTATAATTTGAATTTAAAGAAGTGTTTTTGTTGTTGTTGTTTTTTTGTTGTTTTTTTATATCTATATTTCTGTATTATTCTCTATATATTTCAACGTTATATTTAGTGAATACACGAATCTGTGCACACATACCAGTTTTCGTAGTTTTTAATATAATTGGCATCTCCTTCACTGGGCAATCAAAATCATAATAAGAGAAACGTTTACGTCTTTATTAAGGCCTTTGATTATCCAGGCCGGTAGACTTCATGTATACTGTAAAAAAAGAAACAAGAAATGCAATACAGAATACCTGTATACAAAAAAACTTATAAAGATTACAGAAAGAAGAAATAACGTTAGTCCAAAATAAATTAATTAGTTCATTAGTTTCATCTACCACCATATATATATATGGACACTAAAGTCAACACCCAGTGGCTGGGTGTTGACTCCAATATCCACTTTTATATTTACCTACGTTCTATTCTTGATATTTAACACTTTAACACATGAATATAGAATACCTTAAAGGTATATTCTTATCTTATATATGAGCATTATATTGAGTAACTTAAAAATATTGCTTATAATTCGCCTTTAGGTTTTCAGGTCTTATCCCACGATAATTTACATGTGTTACATATTTATAATTTATAAATAAAGCTGTAGTTTTACAAAGTCACTGCGAACAAAAAAATAATTGTTTTATTCCTTATCATATCATGTTACTATTGATTAATCACTACAGATGATGAATATTACATTTCCAAATGTAGGTTTTACCTGTTAAAAGTTGGCTACAGTTTTCGATATTAAGTCTTTGTCAATTGATTCCACTACCCAAGCTAAAACAAATATGCTCATACGAAGTGATGAATTCTTAAAATTAAAAAAATATATATTTTGTTTTGATTCACAATCTGGATTTCTTTATCGATAGTAAAATATGTAAAAAAAAGGAAAAAAAAAAAATAGTCTCCAGATTATGAATGTCAAAATATTTCTTGCATTTTTATATTTTAAGAAATCACGTGGTAGGAGCAATTTTTTTTTTTTTACGTAGTACAATCCTGCGTATGACAATAAACTATATCTGACAGCAAGGGGCGTTTGAGGATCGAGGAATCACCGCTTAATTGCTGCTGCTCCAGGTAACACCTACTGGTTTCCGAGCTATGGCGAAGTAGTTAACCCTTAAACTGGGGCAGAAAGCTATGAAATTATGAAGAAATTTATATTGAAAATTCCAGCAATTCATTTTCATAGTAAAAAATATTACATGCAATACATTTTTATAACAAAAAAATAATACCAGTAATATATGTTTTTAAAAAAGACAAAAAACATTACCAGCAATAGATTTGTCAAAGAAATCATTAATAATCACAAGAAAATTAAATTTCGGCATTAAATGACCCATAAGGAATTGATATGCCACTAAACAAACAAACAATCTACCGTAGAAGGTTACAACAGATTTGCATTGCAAGATGCAATTCTTATGTAGGAGTGCATAATTTATAACAGTATGAAATAAAAAGAAGAAAATAATTATTTGTTTCAGTACCTACTTGATATAAATAAATCCAAAACATATACATATATTATTAACGGCAAATCACATTATTGTGTTATTTTTCTATCGTTTTATTTTATTTTAATTTTATTGATTTCTTGATAACATCATCTGTCTCTTATTCAGTAAAGTTCATAATTCATTCAATTTTGTGATTTCTTCCAACACTTTTTAAAGCTTGCATGTGTTTTTGCTTGGATATCTTTTCTATTCTGATAAGAATGTATATTTTATTTACTTATTTACTATAACTTCTTCTTTTGCGTGTCCTATCACATCAGGATGTTGGTGGTCACGGCTCTCCACTACTTCCTCTTCTTTGTAATTCTTAGCCATGTTTTTTTCTATGAGCTTTGTTGCAGCAATTTTTCCTTTCTTTTCCTTGAATATCTTTTTCCTTCTGTTATGGAACTATAGTGTATTTCCTTAATCTTTATAACATTTTTTATAACTAATTTTGACGTGTCAATTCAGGACTTTGGTTGTAATGACTCTCCACAACTTCCGGTTCTTTGCAATTCTTTGCAATGTTTTTTCCCTTAGATTTATTTCCGCATTTTTACAACTTCCCAGAGATATTTGCTTAAATATTATTTCCATTCTGATATGGAAATATAGTTTATTTCCTTAATTCTCTCAATCTCTTCTTCTTCTTCTTTTGCGTGTCATGTTCCTGCAGAAAATTGGCGGTCATAACTCTCTACAACATCCTGTTCTTTGTGGCCTATAATATTCTTTTTGTTATATCTTCCAATCCTTGTTCTCTCAAATATTTGCACAAGTCCGTTGTGTAGTTTATACTCTACTTTCCTCTGTCGTACTTGCTTTAACATCTTTTTAGTGTAAGATTTTTTAATGCCTTTTTCCCCTCATTAAGCAATGACAACTCTTTAATTCATATTCCTGCACCTTTATAAAAAGCCTTATCTATCTGCCTCATATTTTATAGATAACTGGTTTATTTTTTCTCATAAAATTCCTCGTGAAGAAATTGCCAACAAACAACAATTGCTTACCATTCATATCATTCTGAGTTCGAATCTCATATAAAATTGCATACGTTGGCAGATATAGCGAAGCTTAGAACATTAGCATCATTCTATAGAAAGATAAAAGTCAACGGTGCATTGTCGAATAAGAAAATCTTTCTCCAGCGGCAAAGTTTACAATTAAAGATTTTATAGACGATTGAAAGTGACATATGAATAAAGTGTCAGTTTGTGATCAATAATTTCATTTAATCCTGCTCGTGTAAGTGACTTTCTTATATGTCTCTCTGTAAAAAAGAAACGGAGGAAAAAATAGTCATTTCCGACAATTAATGCATTACGTGAATGAACAAGTCACAGAGGAAATAAAAAGAAATCTCATCTTTCAGAGTAAATTATTGCATTCAAAAGTCGATACGATTTTTTCTTTATTATTTTGTGCAGGATTGATATGCATTAAATGAGATTTAACATGCGATACTTAAGCGAAACTGACATAAAGAATACCTTTATCACTGGCCTTTGAAGTCGTTTTTCTGCTTCTAGATTATAATTCGACGATTCTTTTCAGACTTTCATACCCCCGCTATAACGTTCTAATGAAAGACAACATACCTACCTCTCCCTCTCCAAAATTCTTTTTAACAATTGAAAAATAGACGGATATGAGGAGATAGATGGCGTGAGTCACAAACAGATGAAGAGAGACAGATACATAAAAAGGTACATAGATGACGAGAGGAAGACAGCTAGACAGACAGAATTATAGATGACTAGAGGAGCAGAGAAAGATAGATGTCGGGAAGAATAGAGCTAGATAAATAGCCAAACAGATGACGAGTGTAGCAGAGCCAGCTAGATAGAAAGATGGCGAGACGAAAAGAACTAGCTAGATAGAAAGATGGCGAGACGAAAAGAACAAGATAGATAGACAGATGACAAGACGAAGAGAACTAGATAGATAGATAGATAGATAGATAACAAGACGAAAAGAACTAGATGGATAGATAACAAAAGGAAGAGAACTAGATAAACAGTTGACGAGAGGAACAGAGCTTTATAGATAAAAAGAGGAACAGCACTTGATAGATAGATTACGAGATGAACAGAGATAGATGATGAGTCGCAGAACTATCTATTTATCTAGATAGATAGATAGATAGATAAGGCGAGATTCACGGAGAGAAGAACGGAGCTAGATAGATATATAAGAGGAGAATAAGGGAGAAACAGATAGGCAAGCTAGATAGATAAATTCATAAGACGAGACAAAAATTGAGGAACAAAGATAAATACATAGATAGATAAGACGAGACTTAAAGTGAGATGAACAGAGCCAGATAGATAGATAGATAGAGACTCAGAGAGAGAAAAGCAGCACTAGATAGATAGATTAGACGAGACTTACAGTGAGAGGAACTGTGCTCTCTCTCTCTCTCTCTCTCTATATATATATATATATATATATATATATATTATATATATATATATATATATAGAAAGAGAGAGAGAGATAAGCAGCACTACAGAGATAGATAGATGGAGACTCAGAGAGAGATAAGCAGCACTACAGAGATAGATAGATAGATAGATAGATAGATAGAGACTCAGAGAGAAAAAGCAGCACTAGATAGATAGATTAGACGAGACTTACAGTGAGAGGAACTGTGTTTCTCTCTCTCTCTCTCTCTCTATATATATATATATATATATATATATATATATATATAGAAAGAGAGAGAGAGAGAGATAAGCAGCACTACAGAGATAGATAGATGGAGACTCAGAGAGAGATAAGCAAGCACTACAGAGATAGATAGATAGAGAGATAGATAGATAGAGACTCAGAGAAAAAGCAGCACTACATAGATTGATAGATATAGATATAGATAGATAGATAGATAGATACTCAGGGAAAAATCAGCACTACATAGATAGATAGATAGAAACTCAGAGAGAGAAAAGCAGCACTATATAGATAGATAGATAGATAGATAGATACTCAGAGAAGAAGCAGCACTACATAGATTGATAGATATAGATAGATAGATAGATAGATAGATACTCAGGGAAAAATCAGCACTACATAGATAGATAGAAACTCAGAGAGAGAAAAGCAGCACTATATAGATAGATAGATAGATAGGTAGGTAGGTAGATAGATAGATAGATTAGTCGAGACTCACAGAGAGAGAAACAGTGCTAGCCGAATACATCGATATGAGCTAAGATTAACAAAGCTAGCTTACCTGGAAGAGAAAGATATAAACAGATTGTAATACTTACGAAAAATGATAGTTATGAAGTTATGAAAATACGCCGTTCAAAAAAAAATATAACACATTGAAGTATATATGGACATAGGCTGATCATTAAAGAGAAATTTATATAAAGTGATTGCAATGATTATGAACACAGATGGATATATAGAGAGGTAGATATGAATAGAGATTAGCCGATCATTAAAGATAAATAATTTGCAGTACATATGAACATAGCCAGATATGACGAGACACTCATGGAGATGAACAGAAATAGAAAAATAAATCGATCTTTAAATAGTTAGATAAAACACATTACAATAAAATTGAAATGCAAATTGACAGAGAGATGGGTATGATCAATCGACAATAGATGTGAACTCGTCAGATCGATATATTTCAATAGATCTGAAGATATGTTAAGAGATCAGGGGCACCTCAAGGCGGTGTAATGGTTAGCAAGATTGTCTCGCTAGTACAAATACGACTGAATAGTGAGTTCGATCCTCACTGGGTAACCCGTGCTTTACGCTTGGAAAATCACGATGTTAAGAGACCAGTAGTTAGTGAAGAGAATACAGTGAACTCAAACAGATAAATTGCGATAGACAGATATGTAGAAATACAGTCAGTGAGACTCATGCCTTTTAATGTTACGACAGGTGAAATAAATATGAGGGACTTAGGTTCACCTTTCTCAAACATATTAACATGCTTGTGTTGAAAACCAGCGTTTATTTTCCGAAATAATTGTGAAACATGCCATTTGCCGCTGAAAATGTCCGTACACATTACATCTAAACCAAATATAACAACTCCATAAAACTACCACGCTGTCTACACTTGCACTTCTCTGATTTCAAACACATTAGCCTACTGTATCAATATATCAGTATTTCGTAAACGTTCAAATACATAGATGTATACAGTCACGCAGGCCACTTAGTAAACAAAGGATTTTATAAATGTTTTTAATCTGACAAAAGAGTGGCAGCAATTTAATGATTCAGTCACTAAAGGACCACATGCGATACACGATTGGATGATATGTCTTTCTATTTATAACTGACCATTTTACAGATGGCTGCCGTTTGTTTTTTTTGTTTTTTTGGTGGGGTGGGGCGGTAGACTGGTTGTTAACCAAAACTATAGAATACAGTCTCTTCTGCTATTTAACATAGCTACGGGGATAAACTATGGGAATTTGTGCGTAATGAAACCGACTGAAATTCGAAGTCACCTATCCGATTTGTTAAGGTCTTCTAAAACACCCTGCATGTTATATCCACAGTAGGATTGATCATAATTTATGAAGGCCTAACTTCTTACAGCTAAAGAGGCCTGTATTGGAGAGAGATACTCTGAGACATTCATCACACGTAAATTGGATGGATCAGTGATCTACTCTTTCCTTGTTTCACGCTTGACGTTTGCTCACACTGTTGCATGTTCTTGGGAGATTTTAGTGCCGTTATGAATTGTACGCTTCCACTTACTTCGTCCATTAGTGATTTTCTAGTTTTCTATATTTGTTATATACTGTACCTATGAACACTAATCGGTATGTTTCCGTCCTCATAAATACGTTGGACACTATTATAAGTAGGGTAGAATGCTGCCTAAATAGTCCGCCACTAGCTGTGATTTAACTACTTCACGCCGCTGGCGAGTATTGTATTTTTATGATGTTATAATGATTACCATTTCATTTCCAACCTCGGTTTTGGTCATTCCTCATTCAGTAACCTTTTTAGGTTACAACAGTATCGTAAGTTGTAAGATATTTTTCAACAGTCTTGAAGCGGTTATTTGGTTTATGCTGGGGACGATTGCTGTAATGCACCTCGCCATGGAGCATTTTTTTTCTCGATATTTTGCTGTCATCACGTCAAATGACACGGCTTTCCTAGCGAGACCTGTGGCGATTAATATGCATTACGATGCTGTTTGAATTGGCCTTTTCACTGAACAGAGCGTCTGAGGTGTTGGTTATTCAGTGAATACCACGAATCGATCTAGAATGTAAATAGCTAAATTCAACCGTCACATCTACACCAAGTTTCTCTTCTCGCAATTCCCGCCTGTGAAACTCACTTCCATTTCCTTGATAAATACAATCTTCAAAAAGTTAAATGCAACGTCAATCGTGATCTTCTCTATTCTTGAATCCCATCATATTTTCTCCTTTCCTCAATCTTCCCTATACTCAGTCTTTTCTCTCACCTTCCCTCGCTATAACACACTGCGCGTTAGTGTTTTCCTGCATTGCTTCGGTTGAAATGACCATCTCTCTCTCTCTCTCTCTCTCTCTCTCTATATATATATATATATATATATATATATATATATATATATATATTGTTTGTAACAGCAAAATATTTTTCTCTTTCTCTGAAATGTTTACTTATATTTTAATATTATTGCTTTGATGATAATTGTAATATAAATGTATGTTATCAAATACAAAATGCTGATTAATATTTGTTATAAGCTGATGCCGATGAGAAATGTTACGCTTCAATATATAAAACATTTAACAGTGATCAAACAGTAAGTACTACTATCTGTTGAAATTCATAAAATCTTTCGCCTGACTCAATTTTTTCAGGAAAATATGTTTCTCAAGTTCGCCAGCTGTTGTTGTTCTTGCAAGTATTGAATTGGTGTATTCCTTCCTAAACTTTTCTTTGCAGTAGTGTTGGGAATCAATATCTTGTTTAAGTCCTTATTTTCTCTCTGTGATATCAATTTTATTTGTTGCTGCTTTTGAAAATCCCCAAGTCAAGTTTTTTTTATGTTATTTGGTACAGCACTTTGTTCGAGATTCTGCAGATCCAGTCAACAAATTTCGAAAAACGATAACTTCACCAATGTCCACAAGAATCACTCGCCCGAAGTTATTTTTGTTTATCGATACGAGAAAGTGATTTGTAGATAGTTTAGATATTTATGATGAGTTTTGGCACCATTATCCGTATCCAGTGGGCAGTGACGATCTATTTAAAAACATAATTCGAGATTTCAAGTTGATGTTTTAGTTTTATAGCAATTTGTAGTGTTAGGCGAAACTGTATCTTGTGCAGGCTATTCCGTTTCCATTTTATCTCCTACACTAAATCAGTTTCAACTGATCTATACGCCAAAGTTTTAGAAATGTTTGGCATTTACTAACACCATGTACTGAATTTTTTATGGATTCTGGGTACTCGCCAACATTGCTTTCGTTCCAATACGAGATCATAGTTTCTATTTTGGAAAAGTATATCTTGAATTCTGTTTCTTGTGACACTTGGTAGAGGAATTTGATATATTTCGAGATTATTCTTATCTTAACTATGAATATCTAAGCCGTCAGCATAACCTTCATTATCAATATATTCGCTTCGGAGGGTAAAGGATGATCTCTGCCTTTTATATATGTAGATAGACGGATAAATAGAAATATTTTTCAAATTTTCACCTTCTGCAAGGCACAAGGGACACTCAAATTTGAGGGTTATTCGATGAAGTTGTTGTGTGATCCTTAGTGTAAGAGATAAGAGGTACAATTTATGCGGATATGTGGGGAAAAATGATGGTTAATCCAAGACTCGAATATGTTAAGATTGTAGAGGACGGGAAAGTATCCTCTTGTGAGGCAGTTCCACGAGATAGCGATTTGATTAAAAAACTGTTCCAGTGGAACTTTCTTCTCACTAATGAAATAAGAGAAAAATGCGGAGAGTATCCGGCGTGGTTGGTCTGCGCTGAGTCTTAGAAAAGGAGGAACTAAGGAATATAGCTCCGCGAAACATTCTCCAAGAAAATAGCGGCGGGTTAGTAAGAGGTTTGCAGTGTTTATTCTGTGGGAGACTATACTTGTGGGGAAAATAATGTATCACCTACAAAGCCTCATAGAGGCTTCTCAACTCCATAAAAATGGGAAGTGGAGATTTGGCAGCTCCAGTCCAGATATAGCAGCAATAATCTATATTTGATCTGATCTGGCACTTGTAAAGTAGTCAGGTACTTAAGAGAGAAATATAGGGAACTAACCATTTCTCATGTAACGATACTCACTTTGACGATCATAGATCGATATCTCCTAACTAAAGATTGGTAGATAGATAAATAGGTAAGAGCAACAGAGATACGTTCATTCATGTGTGTGTATGTATGTATGTATGTATGTATGTAAGGACAAATACAAAAATAGATGGCGATAGATAGACAGACAGACATAAGAGTCACAGATCTAGCTAGAGACATAGATATGAACACTGATATATTGATCAGTAATGAGAAAGATATAATCATCTTTCTGTACACACGAGCATAAATTTGCAGATTGCTGACGAGCTTCACAAACAAGAACAGAGAAAGTTAAATAGAAATATAGATTGATAGATGAATGGATGACGAGTGCTAGATAGCTAGATATATCGATGACGAATGTCACAGAAATGCATACACAGTCAAGGCGAGAATCAGATAGATATGAACAGAGATAGATAGATAGAGAGAGAGAGAGAGTAGAGTTAACAGGAAAAATTACTATCACACCTGTTAACAT